TTCGGTTCCCGTGCGCGCCGATTTTTTTTTTTATGAAAATAATTCTATATAATTATATATAGCTATTTTTCGTATATAATTATGTATGAGTATATATAATTATATATAATCATTTTTAACCTGGGCAATTTTAAAATTTGACCAGATCTGGTCAGATCTGATTATATCTGGCCAGATCTGTTTATATATGGCCAGATCTAATCCGTTTTTCCCGGGTAATAATTTTGGAAACTAAACGTATATGTATTGTAAGTAATACAATTATTTAGTCGCGGATGCTCGATCATTATCTGAGCCAGTGATTAATACGAGTCGATAAAGTCAATTAACCGGAACACTTTCAATCAGATACGAATCAGTCGTTCTCACTGATGTCTCATATAAGAGAGGGTAATTTGCACGCTATATATATACTTAGCGCATTTTCCTGCGCTCTCGTTTCGTAAATCCACCACCAGCTACTGTGAATTGGCTTTGAGTTATTTTACAAGACTATTCCATCTGACATATTATCAAGTTCACCAATCAGATATTTTTGATAAACACATTGTTGATATATAAACGTAATAATAGTCATGTTTAATCATTATAACCGGCGTTTATACAATGAACGTCAGTGTCAAGCTCATCGTCATATTATTGTTATTCACGTCATGAAATTTTATAAAATTAATTTAACCACTAGATAAACGCTGTCTAATTATTCACGACAAATTTATCATATTTAGATGCTTACACATAATTTGTTTACTAAATAATTATAATTTAACGAGCCGAAACAGAAAATGTGTGTGTGTAAATTAAATTCCTATCATACACTTCGACCTAATTAGATTTTTAACTCGATTTGACAAGCATTATGTAAACATTTTTTTAAAATTTGCTAGACAACTCTTTGTATGCTTTTGAGAGTAATCGAATTCATCAAAATTGATTAATATAAATATGTGCCTGGAATGGTCTGAAAAGCCAACCATTTCTAGCATTCGAAAACATTTTTTATTGGAAAATAGTTTTCAATATTATCAGCATTGAGTACAGTGGAAATTACAGTACCGATAAAAGGAAAAACTGCTAACGAATTCTTGACGAGCTATTATTTGATGATAAAATAAATGACTAATTTATTATTTATTTAATAAATTAAATAAAAATTTTCAAATTAACTATCCTCAAAAATTAATAAAAAATATTTAGAATACCGATGACAACTCACCAATCGTCAATGATGATGTATTTCCATCTTGATTTCACACGCACAACAACTAATCACTTTGAATATCTGTAATTAAATTAAAATATTAGTAACCACAACATTAGTAATAAATCAATTAATCATACTTACTTGATTAAGATTAATGAATTAGTTAGAAATGCTGAATCAATGATGTGAATTGCTTGAATCAACACTGAACGCTGAATGTCATTCTCCATACTACAACTCACCACCAATGCCATCTACAACCTTTCAATCCTACACTTTTACTGTCTCCGTTTTTTTATCATTTTAATTAGCTACTATTTTGAATAATAATGATAAATTCAGCAAAATTATATTTTTATCTAATTTCTAAAGACTATTTAGATAAATGTATCACGTTAAATATAACCTTTACGGTAAAAATAATAGACTCGTACCGGTGTTTCGAAAAGTACGCGACGAAATTATTATTTAAACGATTTTATTTAACTACATAGTGAATTATTTTATCAAAATATTGTTATTGAATATAAGTAAGCGACTATTTAATGTTTTTGAGCATTATTTATTAATTATTACCCGAAATAATTTAGTTTTTAATCGGACAATGATCGGGAGACGCAGTTACTCGAGACAATTGACACTGGTCGACTCGTCTCTCATAATGGCCGACAATAACGCATAACTCATTTTGGCGCGAATTTTGAAAATTGCAATAGTGCCATCTACAATATTTTGCCTTAATATTCTGAACAATGTTCTTGTTTTTTTTTTTTCTCTTTGAAAAGGTTAAAAAAAAAGGAAACGTATTGAATTCATAATAAAAATTCTGTTTATAATTATCTGAACTTCTTGATCCTTTATTTACTATAAAACTATTATATGCCGTCAACAAATTACAGACAAAAAAATTTTAACTATTATATGGAGGAAAGGCTACAATGATAAATTGATAATAAAGTCAGAATGAACGGTGTATAAAAAACAATGGAACGAAACAAACAGCGGAACCACTAATATCGCTAAATTAAATAAATAAAAGTGAAAATAAAGTAAATCGAAGTTGTTTTAATTAAATTTTTAATTTCATTCAACAATTTGGTGCTTATTTAAATCTCCCGATTCAACAATTTTCCCAGCTGCCTTTTTTGAATATATTCGAAATTTATTCACAGCTATTGCAATGAAAAATTATTTTCCCAATTTATTATTTTTTTGTTACAGTTGACTCAATAATTTTAACATGCAATTCTAACATCCAATTAGTGTTAAATTCATTTTGAACAAGTATTTTATTTTTTACAATTAAACAAATAAAAATTTTAAAGACAATGAAATTATATTTTGTTTAGATCAAGCGCAAGAAAAAAACTTATCAATAAAAAATAAAAAGTATGGTAATGCAATAATAATTACTGTAAAGAGCATTAAAATGAACAATTTAATGTGTAATATAAGTTTTTACGTTTGCCCCGAAATAAAAAAAAATCTTGCTCCAAAAACAATTACATTATTTACATTATATTTACATGCGTGTAAATTACCACTGTTTATATAATTGTTCATTATCAAATACTCAATTATTAAATATTCAAATTCATTTAAACATTATATCAATTAATTAAACTCTCTATCAATTTATCAACTAATAGAGAACGTATCAAATATTTTGCTTTTAGAAAAAATACACTCATACATTAATTAATATTAATTAATTAAAAATACAAGCAATGGAAAGGGGCATCCGTGATATAGAAATTTCTATCTTTTCTTTGTTTTAATAGAGACATTCTCAACTTTATATTTTTTTTGTTAATATTTATAAATTTTTTTGTAAAGCATTTGCATACGTAACATTCATGCGAATTTTTATTTATTTATATAATCAATACTGATTTTTTTTTTTTTTTTTCAACATTGCTGCACATTCAGTTAATACTAATATATATATATATATTTATATTTATATGTATGAGATATATTTATTTTATCATTAATATGAAATACTCGCAAGTTTTGTGATTCTCCCCATGGGAAATAGAAAAAAAAAATAAGAAAAAAAATATCAAGACAAAAATTATTATATATTTTTTTAATATTATTGCCGAGCGCGCGTCACAAAAATATTCGCGAAGGCCTTTTTTTTTTGCATTAAACTTTGATATTTTAAATTCGCTTCTTATTCATTTTATCATCAATCTTATGATTCATATTTTACACACTTGTATTTGCATATTTAAATTTAATTATCATTTAATATTTGCGACAATAACTATTGTTGTATTTAATTATAATACTAAGGTATAAACAACATCCAGCAAAAAAGTTTTAATATTAAAATAATAAAATTAAAATTCAATTACCATTCATTATTGTATTCTTATTAATTTTTCTTCGATATTAATTTTAATTTTTTTTTTAATCTTTTGTAATATTAGCTTTACATTAATCAATATAAGAGCTTACTATATATATATATATATTTTTTTTTTTAACAAGGTTTATCAGTTTTAATATTAACATAACAGCCTGCCAGCAGCATAAAGACTTACAAGTTTTCTTAATTTTTTATCATTGATTTTTTTTTTAGTTTTTTTTTTTATTATTTTTATTTTTGTGTGTAATAAATATCTCAGTATTAGCCACGACTTAGCAAGACCAAAAAATTTCTAATACCAAGTGATGATTTTTTACCATGTCAATGTTATTTAAGCAAACGATTCTAAAGTTTTATAAACGCTGATTATTATATTTATTTAATATTCTGACTTGCTGGGTAGAAAGGCATCTAGTGGAACATAATTCGGCCTGATGATACAAGAATTTTTACATATTTTTCTTAAATATCTAACAATTTAATAATTATAATAATAATAGTAATAATAATGATATTAATTAATAAAAATAATGATAGTAAAAATAATAATAGTAACTACCATCCGAGTGGCCTTGGCACCTTGGTGAGTGCTCGATAAGAGGCAGTCCATTTGATTCCCTAAAACCCGAGGAAATTTGGCGGTATTGCAAAAACGAACGGGAAAAAAAAGTATCCGTTTATTTTATTTTATCATTTTATTATTATTTTATCTTTTCTCTCTTATTGTTATTTTTTTGTAGTGTTTGTTCATTATATCATAATATAATATTAAACAATTCTAACATTGTGTTATTAATCTCCTTAGTCAGCTCAATTCACAACTAACGTTTAAAATCGAATAGAATCAACTGATTAAATTTAAATTACCAAACTTTTAATTTTCTTTTTTTTTTTTTTTTCGTATTTAATCATTAAGATGCTTACCAAAAAGCGCAGTTAAGCATTATCTATCTCATCGTACAAAAAGTTTTGTGAGAAGTTCTTCTCTTCGTTTATTTATTTATTTTTTTTTAATTAGTTTTTACATAGAATAAATTGCACATTACGGCTTATTAATAACCGCAGGCAAGCTGGATGATTATTTTTTTTTTTTTTCAATTACTAACGTCGTTTATGATCCAAAAGATACTAATCATCAACTGTGACTATTGGGTCTGTAATTTATTTTTCTGTCATTAAATGAAAAATTAATTCGTTAGTTTTATGTTTTTTGTTCTTTAAAGTTTACTTAAAAGATGGATTAAATTTTTTAGACAGATATTTAACATTTGATAACAGAATAAAAAGCAGATATCCGGCATCCGCAACAGTTACTTTTTTTGCAATGTTGAAAAATTTCACTCAGCTTCAGAGATTTCAAACTCTTACTCTGGAATATCTGCATCAGAAGAGAGGATACATCGGAAGGGAAATCGGCAGGGACTAGCAGTTGTTTGGATCTGGTGGTGTAACGAGGTACTCATCCGCACGTTTATGATCTGAGAGTGCTCGCATTGTATACGAGTCCTGTGGTAGTTCACTTTTTCTTCGTAACAACGGCTTTGATTTATTGGTATTTGTCATCTTTTTTGCCTGTATAATTAAATCATTTTATATTTAGTTTTCAATCATCAATATTACGACTAAAAATAATAAGAATATTATTATTATTTATATCTTGATATTTTTACTTAGATACGAGATGCACGTAATACGTGAATCATATTATTAGATACCGTTACTAATGTACTGATTACTTAATGTCCGTACCTCGTTAGCCTTAGCCTCGATTTTTTCTAACGTAAGCGGTGTCGCATCATTATCAGCGTCCTCGTCCAACGGTGGACTGTCCAAATGCTGCGACAGATTGTGCGAATTGTTTAGGAGACCTTTCGTAACCACCGTGTAACTTGGATGTCGCATTGCAAGTGCTTCCACACGATTCCATGCTTCATCACGATCTTTCAGCATTCGTTTTTCTTTTTGCCGATCCTTTAAATTAAATGAATGATTAATAAATTTAAAATATTAATTTGCTTGTGACTTAAATTTTTTATCAATTGAAATATTTTTATTTTTTCTCATTAAATTCACTTTGATTCATCCAATTAAATTTTCGTTTTACACCCGGCCATCAGTACAAAAATAAAGGGTCCAATAAGAAAAAAAAAAAAAAAAAAAAACTTGAGCTAAAATTAAATAAGGATTAAATCCTCTAGACTGCAGTTGTGAATTATTCACTGTGCTGATAATTCCCTATTAAGTATGTGCAAATTTAAGTAATTAAAAATTACAATTTAATTTATAACAATTACATTTAATATCAACAATTGATTTTCATATAAAGCCTTGTAAGAGGATTATAGTTTATCATCTTGAAGATGAAAATTAGTTCAACTTGTCGACATTAATAAATAAATACCTGGAAATATTGCTGAGTACATTCATCAAAAACTTTTTGATTCATTTCCATGAGACGTTTCAATGCATTATAAATCAATCCATGAATTGTTTTATTCCAATGATTACGCGAATTTTTATATAATGCAGGATACATTATTGGTAAAATAAATGAGTAATTGTCGGATATTAACGACATAATGTATTCATTGTTCCAATAATACAATGTTCGTTCTGCCACCTATTAATTTAGTTCACAAAAATTTTATTATCATCATTACTAACAATAAATATATTTATTTTATACCAATTATTCACAATTGATTATAAATAGTTACCTGAAAATGTGGAGAAGAAACACACTTAGCAAGTTGTCTAAAAAGTGGATCCATAACTTTTTGAAACTCAGCAGGCTCGATAACATCTAGAATTTCCTCGAGTTCATTGAGGAACATGACCTCCTTGGGTGAGTGAGTCTTGGGCCAAAATTTAAGAAGATTTTTTATGACTGGCTCCGTTAAATTTGGATCTTTTTCAAGAAACTGTACAACACAGTATGCAAGTTGCGGATGATAAACAGACAACGACTTGGCTTTGTGAAGAGGTAAAAGAACTTTTAGCAAAAATATCTTGTGCTCTTCTTTGAGCGGTAAAGCAAAACCATTGATAATACTGTAACAAATAATAAAAATAAATAAAATTATTATAGTAATAATATCAATATTAATAATGACCATAATCCATTTATTATATAATCGGATTATGTCCTACTTAAGAACAAATCATTTCAAGTGTCATATTATTAAAATTAAGTAGCGAAAATTGCATCACCTCCCAAGAATCTCTAGCAACTCGGCAATTCCATTATGATGCTCAGTTTCATAAATAAATCGATAGAAAACATTATTTATCTGCTTTCTAATGTACGCGCGTAGACCCAAAAATTTTCCATAAATTCTGTGAAGTGTCGTTTTTAAGAAATCTCGTTCACGTGGATCCTCCGAGTCAAATAATTCCAGCAATTGTAGCACAAACTTGTGATCTATATAACGTTTGGCGATTGTCGGCTGAAAATCCGGTGACTCGAGCAGTCGTAGAAAAAATTCATAGACCAATTGTAAGTGAGGCCAGGCAGCCTCAAGGGTTGGCTCGTCCTCTTCCGGATCAAACTCGGCGCCATTCGGATTCGAGGACGGTGGGAGGGTCCGGAACAGATTCACAGCAAACTACAGAAATTATTTTTCCACATTAAAAACAATAATACAAATACTCTGCAGGCGGTATAAAATCATCTACCATCATAATCCGAAATTACAAACAACTCGAATTAATTAGTAAAACAATAATGATGAATAAAATACAAACCATGTTTACTGCCTCGGGATAAACAACTTCTGTAATTACGCCTTTGTTCTTTGTAACATACTCGACCATTTCGAGCAATGCGCCGCGCTTCACTTCTTTCCATTTTAAATCAGATAATGGATCAGATTCAAAATCAAACAGCACGCAGCACTGCCGTAATTTCTGAATAAAAAGTTCTTCCCGTTCGTTTGGTGCTTGAGCTTCTGCAAAAAAATATTTAATTCCTTTACTTTGAGTTAATCAAAGATACTTATGAATGAGTGAACTGGAAAAAATAATAAAGTAAAAGAAAAAATATCCATAAAACTACCAATAAGCAACGGCTGAAGTGGTTGATAATGTAAAGCGGAAATCGGTTGGTATTGTTTATTAGAATCATGAGGCTGTATTACGGCGGCAAATGCTAAACCCTGATGAAAACTTGGACTTTTAGGTAACCCACTACCCAAAGAAGGGCTTATACCGCCAACGTGAACCATCGTGTTTGTATTTAGAGGTCAAATTCGGGCAATGCTCCCTGCACCGGTTACTGGATCATTCAAGCTCACTCAGTACAAGCTGCGTACTACCGGCTCACTAGAGCAAACACTAGTCCAATCAATGTGCCCTACTAATTTTTATACTTATTTTTATTTATACTTTTACTTTATCTATCACAAGTCCCTTAGTATGATGATAAATCAGTCGTAACCCCTTTTGAGTTGATAAATTAATTAAAAATGGACGGAAGATATACAAATATAACTTTATTGGTTTTTATGATAATTTAAAACCAACTGGAAGATTTTTAACGTATCAAAGTTTCATTGCAATTGCTTTTTTATTTTTGTTATTATTTATTATTATTATTAATATAAAATAACAATCTTTATCATGATAATCATAATAAAGAATACAAATGTCAAATGTTAGTTTGGCAGTTAATCGATATTATTTCGTCGCACTGGTAAAAAATTAATTAAGATATGTATTAATAAAAAATTTATTTAAAAAGATAGTCTGCGTTGAAGTATTTATAATTTTAGTTGTTACTTTTGTCAGTATTACTGTTGTAAAAATGTTAATCCACGACATAATAGTAAATAGATAAGGTCTTTGACCAAACAAACAGTGTATTGATATTATGAAGAGAAAGACGACACAATAATTATTGAAAGTACTTTCTCGTGTGAGGGTTGTAGCACGCTTAGAGGGTGACTGTTTACTTCCATTCCATTCTGTAAAGGTTCGGGGCCAGGGACCAGTACACACTACGACCTCGCGGCGTCTGCGCGACCCCAACGAACAATCGATATCCTCTGACGTAAGTAATTTATTCTTGCAATTGGAGATACAAGAACAACAGAACAGGTCTTATTCACTCTCAACACCAATGTAACCAGCAGCATTGAGAAAGGCCAGGGTGCATCCTTTTATTTTTACCCTTTTGCCTTTTATTTTTTGTTTCCAGCGACTTATTCGTCCTGCGTCATTTTTACTACGTCTATTTTACTGCTCTTATGTTATACTCACCTAGCTCATTGAATTTTCATTCAATTTACCCGGGAAAAGATATTTTTAAATAAACTTGATTACCATGAATTTATTTAATAATTCATCTTTACTGATGATCTCGTCTGATGGTTCACGATTTCTTGGTAAAATATTTTTAGGTTTTATAAATTATTTAAATTTAAAATTAAAAAATATTAATATCTGAAAAAATAAATAGAAATATTTTTTTTTTTTTCACTTATTGTCAAGTACATTGAATTTTTATTTCAATAAAACATAAGCTGTAAAAGTGTAACTAAATAATTAAAAATCTTTTGGAATTATAAATGTATTCAAAAAGCTTTAATAAAAGCTCAACCGTCAAAGCTCATAAAAAAATATAAAGTATACTTTCAATAAATTATCAACTGTCCTACTTTTTTACATTCGCCCAGTTTCAATATAAATCCGTCGAATCGTTTGAACACAAAAAAAAATGTTTATAAATATCTCAAGTATTTTTTATAAGTAATCCTCAGTATTAGTAAGCCAAAAAAAATATATATAATGAAATAAAACTTACCGGCAATGAAGGGTAATTTTTGTAGTTCACGATTCTTGGATATATTGAACCTCGAGCTGTTTTGCCTTTTGTCCTTCTTGATAACCGGACCACCCGGTTGGTATTTCATTTTGTTGATCAACGTAGGCGGTGGTGGAGTGCTCCCTCCAGGCGGTCCACCCGCCACCTTATTATTCTATCAACAGAAACAATAAATAAAACAATCACATTGATTAATAAAATTATCAAAATCTAATATCTAAATAAGTAAAAATCATAAATCAAACCTATTAATAATAAATAGTTGATAATAGATTTTTGTCGGATTATATATATATATATATATATATATTATAATAAAACATGCGATCAACACACATACAGATGTGTATTGATGTACACATAAATACACAGGAGAAAATAAAATGGTCTAGATAGATTTAAAAAGTCATCTGACCGATCTCGACCGAGATAAGTCTTAGTATTATCATCATCACAGTTGGACAATTACTCATTTGCCCGTTGGCTATCTTATCCACTGTATATTACATCTGTATTATATTATCGAATTCAACCTGCCATAGATAAACATCCACACAATAACCATTATATCAATAATATCAACCAACAATAATTCAATATATCTACTTAAATTAAATTAAATTAAAATTATATAATAAAAATAACATGCCTTACGTCTGAAGACATTTCCAAAAGCTAAATTACTGAACGTTTGCATTTTATTTTGCATTATTGTCGCAAAAAAGTAACAGTTAATTAATAGTCACACTCATTAATATGACACACAAATTCAAATAATTATATCCACTGATTTTGTACCTGGTGTACATTATTGTAAATTTATAATTATCAATTAACGGAACAATTATTATTAATGGTAGTACTGGTGGTAGTTAATATTGCTGTTAAGCCTTATCATTTATTGAAGTGTGAATTATTGAATTATAAATATTGATGAAAAGAAACACATAACGAGATCATTAGCTTTCACTGTATGGTAACTAGTACAAGGAATAAATAAATAATAAATTGCGTTTTAAGATCATTGTCCTCGTCATTATAGTATCCTTATTATCAAACAAATACTAATTATTAAATTTCTTCCTTGTTAATAAAATAAATTTATATTTTCTGTTTTCTTCGTCTTGGTCTTGGTCTTGGTCTTGGTCGAAGTCGTCGTAATCTCACAGCGTTGACAAGGTCGCAGTATGCCACTGGCAATTATAAAAATGACTATCACGCTCGTGACCGAGAATCGAATTACTTGCGACACCACGTTTTGGCGAGCAATCGGCCAGTGGCACGCTGATGATGCGGCTGTCATTGTAACCGTAATTACAATTACACTCGCTCTTTATACATCACTATCTTCCATTTAAATGTCTCAATTTCATACATAAATCTTCCATATACAAGTATTACAATAAACCAATGTCTCAAACATTGTGACAATTTTTTTTTCTTAATGTTATTATAAACACTCACACAAATCTTCAATTTAATTACATTTTACAGATAAACTTTGTGATACTTTTAATGACATTTAAACTCATTCATTAACACAATAATGTAGTTATACATTTTAAAATTGTTTTTGTTCTTTAATTAGCTAAATAATATTAAATACAAGAGCGCGATAGTCACTAACATCAACTGATTCACACATATAACGCCGTATTGATAAAGATAAATATATCGCAGTCGATAATTGTCGTCAATCAATAATCTATTGGTTATTATTGTTATTCAAATTATCTTTTTTAAATTTTATTAATAGCAATATGTATTGTAATAGTATCTTGTACATTAATAGAACAACAGGATTCGCAAAAAATATAATTAAAAAAAAAAAAAGTCAACAACGTGGTGATGAATCGAGGAACTACGCGCAAGAGTTAATGTAATGTAATGCTGTTGTAATGTATAGTAATTCACGTGAATATTTTTCTCCTCACACTACCGATCGTCCCTGAAAACGACGTACACAGTGTATTGCGTCGCAGAGAGAAAGAGAAAATGGAGTTTTAAAAGATATATATCTTGAGAGAAAGAAAGATAAAGAAGAAGATAGAGAATGAGTTGTACAGACGCGGATATATGTGTTCTTTCCTATTTAGACTTGTTTTTACTTGGTCCATACACACGTAATGTAAACATGTTTGATCACCTTGTTCCATATACCTCAACACTGAGTTCAATATACTTGGACACGTTGTCATTACAATTTGCAATTTATCTTTTATTTTGCGTTATTTATTTATTTATTTATTTATTTATTTTAGTGTAAACTTTTAATGTTAACAAAAAATTCTGCTAAATTTGGCAGTTACGTTCGAGTGAAGACACGGATAAAAAAAAACTGGCTGTGTGGGATGCTAAGAATGTACGAATGTATTAATATTATAGGGTGATGTTTATATACACTGGACTTTAAATAGATTCAATCGGCTTTTTCTCATTTTTTTAACAAGAAAAAGAGTTAAGACACGAGCCTTAGTTTACGTTGTCAGTATAAAAATCAATTTTTATAGTTTTCTGAAGGACAAACCGTGTAGCTTTATTCAATAATAATTCTCAACTTTGTACTTGTTCGTTAGTTTTTTTTTCTCTTTTGTTCCCGAGAATATAATTATTACCAATGGAAATTTTAATTATATATACGTAAAAAGTTAGCTTTTAATTATTTAAAAATAGAATCTATACGATATTGATAACGATTGTCTTCTGCGCAATATACTAATTTACCTTTAAAAAAAACATTTCAACAATAATAGCAATGCGAATTTATAAATAAAATTATTACGTAAAAATTTGTTCAACCATTATTAATTTTCACAATGATATTATTTTACAATAATCTAATAATCAAGATATCTTGAGCCGTGCAAACGATATTGTTATTGATACGGCAACAAAACACAATAATAAGATGAGATATCGTGATTGTTGAGAATTAAATTTAAAAAATTACAAAAGAACATACACGAAGCTAGTGATATCTTTCACACGTTCGTGAAACATCATGCACGAATGAGTTATAGAGAGTAAAGCTCTGATGATAAAGTCACATTCAATACATAAATACATTTATAGTCTAGATATATAAATATAAATATATATCAAAAATATATGTATAGATATTAGACATCTATCTTCAAAAACATAAATACATAAAGATGTATCTATGCAACATAAAAATGAATATTTTAATTTCCAGTATACACAATCAGTATTGTCCAGTTATCCTACATATTTATCTCGTCCAATACAGATTAACAAGCATATACATTACGTAATAAATTAATTATACTCGTACAGGTCACGGGAATTACGTCTCTACACGACAAAGTACTAATACCCAAGCAATAAAATAATAAAAAATTATAACTAAATACTGGTTGTACTGGTGTAACACATGATAACATGATAACATGATAACATGATAAATGATGACGTGTTCAAGTAAAATATATTTATTTTGACGAGGTCTGCGACCGATACGTTGATATGTAACCTAAGCATTATTTTTAAAAATTTCTTCAATACTAAACTCAACAGCAACAATTCAACAAATACCGAAGAGCTATTACACCAAAGTGTTTAGTCGCTGATTGTTGATTTCATTCAGTCTGTCTGTCAGTCTGCCTGCCTGCCAGAAATCATCAATGTAAACCGTTAATGTCAGTATTTAACTTGTCAGACCATTAAAACAAATTAGTTCCACTGACAAATAGCCAATATCTATTACAACCTGTTGGCAAATCATCTTCTTCAATATGATTTATTATTAAGCTTCTATAACACAACAAATTATTAGCTTACTAATTAGTTAATTAATTAGTGAGTTGTTTGATTATTAGATAATAAATAGTTAATGATACCAATACCTTCATCCATTGTTAATAAATTTTTTAAATTGCTTTAATAATATGATTATGATTATTAACAAACCCAATATTAAGCACCACACATCAATGCATTCGAATTAATGCTATAAAAGCATGTATACGTCATTTAATGACGTGTATGCATCAATTAGAGTTGTTATGACAAAATGAAATACCAGTGTATATACTTAGGAATAGTTATTGATAGTAATATTGATAATGGAGCTGTAATCTGTCAATTTAAACACACAGACAGACAGAATTAGTTGATATTAGACCTCACCTCGTCCCCAGGTTCTGGATCCTTGCCATTCTTAGGCTTGTCCTTGGGCTTTCCTGACTCCTAAAAAGAATATCAAAATTAATAAAAAAATTAAAATACATTTAATGATAAAATTTTTGATTCAATGAATATATTAATAATTAATTATGTCTAATGAGCGAGTATGAATGAAAATAAAAAATTTGTTAATGTAATTAGGTGAATGATTTAATGATTAGTAATAAGTAATTAAAGAAAGAAGAAAAAAGAAACAGTACCATTTTCTTTGACGATAATATACGCGTGTATTGTTGTAAGTAGGTAATTAATTAGCGCGATTATTTAATATTTGTTATTATTATTATTATTATTATCCTTCTTGTAGTTGTTGTTGTAGTTATAAGTATAGACTGTGTGTAGACCCTTTTGTCGTATGAACTGTTATTGTTTATTTATTATTAAACTAAATATAGAGCGAGGTGATGATTGCTGAATCAGGATACGTGTTACAAGACAGCGATGATGGTTGGTGGTAGCCAAGATTGCCGGGTTGTTGTGTGTTCCCCCCTAATTTTTTATTCAATTTTCTTTTATTATATTTATTTATTTAATTATGTTGTTGAATTTAAAATTTATTTCTCTGGTAAATAATTAGTTTTCTTTCAGCTGGCTTAGTTTCTGTTGCACGACGACGACGGCTATGAAGACCAGACGACGATGATGACGAAGAGAGTAGATAGAAGACGAAGAAGAAGGAAATGAGTTTAAATAAATCACGGATTTAGTTTCACGCATAAATACCACCACTAAATCATATAATAACAAAAACAATTTTTATACTTGTAAAAACAACACCCGAATTAGTTATTTAGAAATTTCATTTTACTTCAATAAACGCACCTTGTCTTTCTTTTGCTTGTTTGGCATAATTATTTAGAACGACTACTATTATTATTATGTATTTATAATTATTTCAAATCACACTGTGATGTTATTATTGTTGTTAGTTTTATAAGTATTTATTTTATATAATATAAATATCGGACGGACACGCTTGTTTAGATTTTAGCTTTACAATTATTATTTTTTAATCAAACTTATATAAAATAATCATCGAAATATAACGGCTAGTACAGCCGACATCACTAGCACACGGCGTTCGTTACGCGGCGGCCATTGCCCATCATTTTGGTCACCTTTTCATTCGTGTTTTTCGCTCAGCGACAAAATTAATATTATATTAGAACAAGTATCGGTCGGTAATGCGAACCGCGACATTCTTATACACATTATCAGATATTTTATCATATATATTTCAATTATATCAACAATTACTTCCTTGTATTACATATACACGATATATTTACATATTTAATTTAATTCATTCATTTTTTACACTGGTCTTTACATATCATTCATCATAAATTATGAGTATTTTTAACCATGAAAAAAAAATTAATAATAATAAAATTTTTTTTTTTTTACTGTAATATTTCTTTTTAAGTAGTCATTAAATATTTTTTTTTTCATTAATATTAGTGTAGTAATCTTAAATTTTTGTAAAAATATTTTTATTCAGACTTGTTGCCCTTTGAGAGATATCGATTTACATACAAAGTTGATTCATTCGAGTATCGATTGCTAATGGCGGGAAATATACTTGATTTTAAATTCAATATAAATTTAAAGCATAGAAATACTTTAGATAAATAAGAAAAATTATTAAAATAACAAAAAAAATATATAATAATTTATTTGTAAGTTTTTTTTATAAGAGGAATTAAAAATTTTTTTAAGAGCAGCGAGATAATTAGCAGGTGTTGCTCTTGGAAACTATATCAAAACATTGAATGCAATAGTTTGATAACAAATGAATGTTAGATCGCTAATAGGTAGATAATTTCAGCAATTACAAATTTATTGATTTATCAATTTCAGTAACGTGTGAAAATGGTAACTTACTGTTTTAATGGTTACCTAAACTTAAAGTAAACTTTTATAAACTTGAATATTTTCAGGCAAAGTCAACTTCTTGCAAAGAAGCAATAGAAAAATGGGAAAATGAAACCGGGAAAAAAGCGAGTGTTGAAAAAGAAGTTCTCTTGTCATTTCAGTGGCCTCCTATTGAAAAGATGGATCACCATTTGTCATTTTTAAAAAATGTTGAGTCAGTTACACAATTTTTTACTTATTAAAATTAAAACTACAATTTGTCATTATAAATAAAATTTTTTCAGGATGCTGTCCTTGTCAACAAATATAATTGAAAAAATATCAAACCTTGATTCATTGAAAAATTTAAAAGTTTTGTCACTGAGTCGTAATAATATCAAGACGTTATCCGGATTAGATTCAATCGGTGATCATTTGGAGGAGCTGTGGATCTCATATAATTTCATTGAAAAACTAAAAGGTGTTCATGTATTAAGAGCGTTAAAAGTTTTGTATATGGGTAATAATTTAGTAAAAGATTGGAACGAATTTAATCGGCTTCAAGATTTATCTAATCTTGAAGAATTAGTATTTGCAAACAATCCTATAAATGAAAACCTCGAAGTTGAATCCTGGAGGTCACAAGTGATACGAAAACTTCCTCAACTAAAAAAACTCGACGCCATTCCAATAATGTAAGAAATCTAAATTAATTAATTGGCATAATTATATACATTGATGATTATTTTATTCATTTTTTACAGACATGAAGATGACGATTAATTTGTAATTTTAAAAAATATATTTTTACTGTTAAAAATTAATTTAGAAAAATAAATCAGTTTGTTTGACTAAAGTATCAATAATTCTCGACCTTCATGTCATTTAATCCAAGCTCCTCGTTTTGTTCCTCATTCCTGGTATACTTTTCAATTTTAAGTCTCTCATCACAACCAACATCAGCAAGACTCTGAATATAACTATTCCCTGCAGGATCATCAAGAATGATAGTAACCTCACGTTCACCATTCAACACCTTATCTAATTCAGCAATAAAATCATCCATTCGCTTAACAGCCTCGGAATCTTTACTATCGCCAAATGCCGACCCGCATGATAATTGTTCTCTGGTCGCAGCAATAATTCCTTCGACCGTAGTAAAACGTCCCCCCAACGCTGCTGGACCAACTTCTAAATCGAGCTCTGGTATTTCCATGGAACAGGTATCTGACTTTAAAACGTCACGACCAAAATCATCTTTACCTTTTACTAAGATTTCTATTCTCACACCCTCGGGTTCAATTCCACTACCACTCTTGACCTCATTAGTCCGGTGACCACATGAGTCGCAATTTGTTGCCATTATTACGACTTCCTTGAAGTGTGGTATTTCTAATTTTAATTAAGGAATTTAATAGCTCACAATAAACATCTGAAATGAAGAGATTAAATTAAATCGTATATCGTGTAAAAGGATACTAGTTACTTTCATGTTTGTACTGCACGGACAGCTACACTCAGGACAATTAGTTGGAAATTGTAGAACTTCATTTTGCATATCTTCATACGTAAATTCATCTTTGTCAACAGGTTTCAATAGTTCATTGTTATACTCTGAATAAATTCCTAATAAATTATCTTGTGCTTGAGATCTTACGAAATGAGAAATTTTACAATTTCTGTCTGGGTGTGGAGCATTTGGATTTTCAACATAAACTTCGCCAGAAATGTCTTCAAAGATAATATCAAATGGTTCATCGATAACTTTAAGCCCACGTAACTTGGCAAGAAAGAGATCGATATCAATAGCTATTTCGGGATTTTCTTCACGTCTTCTCGGCTGGTCTTGCTCTAAGCCTTCAATACTTCTGTCAATTATTCCCTCTACAGTTGTTATCTCTGTAAACAATAATTGTGTATTTCAATTTTATTTATTTATTGAATTTAAATGCCAAGGCATAAAGCCAAATAGCAAGAAGTACAAATGCATGGAATTATATTTCACATAAGTAATAAAATTAAGATTAGAAGTATTTGCTTAAGTATAAAAATTTTGTTTTATTTATAAATAATATAGTTGAAATTTGGAGTATAGCTTAAGTAAATATAAAAATTTAGTACATTCAGAAAGAGTAGCATGGTTACAATTTCAAATATCTTAATATATACATTTTTACACTTAACCAGTATTTCACAGTAATTTAAATAGAAATCTAGCTAATCTAAACTTAAAAGAAAATCGAATAGCTTCGATTTAAATGATTCTAAGCTAAGAGAATTGGGATTTCAGGTGGCAAATCTTGCCAGAACCCGATAGCCGAAACGACAAACGATTATTCATAAATAGTACTAGAGAATTTAGGAATTTTGAACATGACGTTATTTTTTTGCTGCTAATCTGTCTGATCATCTAATTTCTGGGTCTTCATCAACAAATAGACTAATCAGAAATTTATGTTCACCTGTAGATAATAATTTGTAGAATAAGCAGCCTAAATAATACAACCTGCGCGACTTTACTGTTAACCAATTTAGTTGACGTCGATACGGTGTAATATGTTCATCCCGTTTTAATTAATAAATAAATCAAATAGTACCATTTACAAGACGCTGAAATTTATATTATATTAATTAAGGATAGAGAAAAATTCTATTAAAATTTTTCTATTCGACATCAATTATATTTAATTGTAAATATTAAATCAAGTTGTTTCAATAAAAGAAACAAAGGAGATAAAAATAATTTTACTTGTGTGAAAATATGAAGGCTAATTAAGAATTAAGATACTTAGAAAATTTTTGCAATATAACTTATATAAAATATGAATTTTTACTCACCGCCTTTTTGAGACTGAGCTGGAATTTCAAAATCTAATTTAGGAATTTTAATACTCGTATAATCGGATTTAACAACTTGACGATTCAGGTCTTTTTCTGTTGTTATTGTAAGTTTTATTCTTATTCCTTTATCGCTTATAATCCCAGATTTTTGTATTTCATTGTTTTCATTCCCACAATGCGGACAATTAAACGACATTAAAACAATCTCTTTGTAGTGAGGAATTTTAGTCAACAAGATACGAGTTTCACCCTATAAAGAAAAAAGAAAATAATACAATTGAAGCTAGCTTAATCTGATGAAAAAAATAAAATAAAATACTTTTTCATACATTTTTAAGACAATTGCCACATAAACTTTCAGTTAGAACTGTTTCTGGATTATCAGCACTCAAATTCAAAAAAATAGGTTGTTTTGAATCGTCAATTTTCTTATCCTCTTCCGCCATGGTCAAATATTTTTTATTTACTCAAAGTCGCAAATGAAAATCTGAAATTATCAATAAAATTTTATTAGTCACATAGAGTAATTTTCATCTTAAAAAATAACATAAAAAATGTGCTTGCTTTACCAATTATTTTATACACAGTAAGGTTAGGGTATTTTATTCCAGCCTTTAGACCTGGATCCCTTCTTCAAGTATTCGAAATTGCGTGCGCATCTGTGCTTAACCGATAATCAAAAAACGCGGCAAATTTAAAAAAATGTACCTGGTTGATAATCATAATTGCGCAAAAGAACTTGCGCAGAGACGCCGCTGGCGCGCTCGGAACCCTATTCAGCTCCGGTGTTCGCTCCCAGTGGCTCGAGAGCGGCCGATGGTCTCTCTCTCTCTCTCTCTCTTTATTTACACTCTATCGTGTCTAGTAGTCAACACGACCCGACCGCGACTCAGTGTATGAGCCTCGAAAAAGTAAAGAAAAAAACCAGACGAAAAACATATTTTTTTAATAAATAAAAACTAGACCGACAAGTGTTTTATTGTGATTAAAACCGTGTTTACCTTAAAAATGGCTGCCACTAATGTAACGTGTCGCGCCTTGGTTTTGCTCCGACTAGAAATCACCCGTGGTCTGAGTGTTGCGTCCTTGGCTACTCCCCGAAGATACCACAATGTAAGTACGACCAGACTAAATAATCCATCAATCATAATTAACTTTTTTTTTTACCTGTTAGTTAAACAACAATGTACTTTTTGTTTCTTTTGTGAGTGTGAGTATCATCAGCACTTTTCATAAATCCACCGGTTGATCGTTGGTCAGCTTAATATAATAGCCAGTCTCCCGACAAAATTGTCTGGTATTAATTTTGATTGGTCGATTTATGCCGCCGTTTGTTCTTATAGACAACATCAGCCTATCAGACCGAATAAAAAATTATATTCAAATTAAACGGTTTGGCTACTATACTATGATCAACATAAATATGTACTATTACTATTATATTCATTCATAACCCATTGGAAGTGTCATTGAGTTTTATGATTCATTACTCATTTACCATCGTCATCCAGTTAAATATCGTCAATGATTATTTCTTAGAACTTCACCTACTAACCACCAGGTATAATTACTTATTTATACCTAGTAGAGGATTATTGATATATTGTACTATCGTACAATCGACAGGACATAACAATTAAATTACCACACATCCTATTATCTATACTACATCATTTCTATATTTATATACATAGGCACAAGTTCATTATACATTACTCACGCCGTTATCCACCGGGAATAATAACTACCCTCGCAAATAGACTAACTATTCAGAGAAAGTATAGTATTATTTTATTATCAAATTTCGCAGAATTATTATCTAAATCTCCGGTGAATTCTCCATCCCATCCGATGCTGTTTACTCTATGAATTATAATTTCGCTCCTCGTCAAGAGTACTTAAAAAATATTCAAATTAAAAACTCCGATATTTCTATCCAAACTTTTCCAAGTTTAACTTCGCTTTTTAATCCCAAAGCTTTTTCATTTAAAAAATGAGCAAAAAAAAAAAACTATTTATCTGTTTTCTTAAACTACTGTGATTATTTATAACTATAAACTACTAAATGTAATGTCCTAATGATACACTTTTATTATCTCTAAAATATTCTGGTTTATCGATTTAGCCTGCGGCGAAAAAGAATTGCCTTATTTATTTTTTCTTCTTTTCTTACAAATAGTTATTGGTATAGTTCACAGAGTTTCTATAACGATAATAATAACAATATGTATACTATTGTTACATTGTATAGTACCGGAGCCGTAAAGTCTGGTGGACTTAAAGGCGGGTGAACGTAATTTTAATAATGCACCTAAATGTACCACACCATTCATTTTAATGGACGTTAAAAGGTTGTCAATAATTGATGAACGTAATTATTGAATCAATTATTTTATTGGCGTATTTCACTCATCGGTGACTCTGATATCACCCACAAGCTGACTTTAATTAATTAACCAGACTAATCTACATGTTTTGTGGAATAAATATAGTTGGATATTTAATTAAATTATTCAAATTCAAATATGTATATATATAGTATTATGCTTATCGTCTTATAGCTGAGTGCAAGCGATAATACATAAATTCGCGGCTGTATTAATCGCTACGGGTCGTAAGTTTGTGGCCCTCATACACTATACTACTTTTAATCCAACGACTCCCAGAATAAAAGCGAAAAAGAAAAAAAAAATATATTTAGTATATAAATATATATGTTAAATAAAATACGGGTGAGAGTAATACTTTTATTGTAGCGCGTGTCACAAACGAGAGGTTGACAACCTCTTTGCAATTATTTTTCACGAACGTGCATGTGATGTAATAGGTTCATTATTATTTATTACAATTATGATTTTAACTATTTTTATTATTATTATTATAATAATAATAATTATTATTATTATTATAATAATAATAATTATTATTATTATTTTACCTGCTGCAAATGTGTATGCTAAGCACTAACTCAATATTTGATATGATTTTTTTATAAGTATATCTATAAATAGATTTCAGATATATTTCGACCCAAATGTGACATTTGACTTAAAAGTTATTGGATATTTCAGAGTAACCTTTTACGAATAATTTATAGAACTCTAAAAATGGGATTACGGTATAAATTTTATTAAACTACTACTAAATTTTATCATATAGAACTTCCCCAGATAACATCCAAGTCAGAAGGATTTCTTAAAGATGTCTTTTCAAAGACTTCCTTGAGAACTCCAAATATGACGTCTTAAAGACCTCATTTTTCGGAACTCTTAATTAAGAAAAGTCTTTAAGAAGTTTTTTTTTTAAGTTCTATAAGACATCACAGATATGAGCTCTTTGAGAAGTCTTTTTTCCGACTTCGTAAGAGGTCAAAAAAATGAACTGTTTAAGAGGTCTTTTTTTGGACTTTCCAAGACATCACAGTCGGTAAATATCGATCAACAAATCGATGATAATCCCCCAACAGTCGGTAAAAAAAAATCGACCAACAAATCGATGATAATCCCCAACGACAGTCGGTAAGTAGAGCACAAAAAACCAACCATCGATATCGCAGAAACTCCACCAACGACCGCCGATAAGGCAGAAACCCAGGGTCGGTACTGCAGAAATCTACTTTATCGGGGGGTCAAACCGGCCTTGCTTATCTACTGGTATTTTTTTTTATTTTTGGGTAGAAAAGTTGATATCAAGTTTTTTATCGTTGCTATAAGTCGTTTATAATCTTATGTGAACATAAGAGCTTATGTAGAGAAAAAAAATTTACTATTTCATTAGGAGCAGCTAGCCAAGGCAGACCAGGGGACACCACATCACTGAAGTTAAGACGCATTGGTCATGATAAATACTTGGATGGGAGACCGCTAGTAAATTCGTATTCTGCGAGCGATACCATTTTTTTTTTTTTTTTATTTCGAAGAAAATATATTTTAATGTACTTGATTGTCTTCAATTTAAGCTCTTTTTTAATATTAATTACAATGCAATTAAAACTGAAAATGTCTCCTTTATAAATTATTTTTTTCTGGAGTCAGAAAGGGCTCTTAATTCTGACTTCTTGAAGAACTATTTTTTTGAAGTCAGAAAAAAGAGCTCTTTAAGAACTCTCTCTATGAAGTCCTGATTCACTCTTTAGGTGGCGCATTGGACGTCCTCAAAACGTCTTGGAGACCTCATTTTGATCAAAATTCTGACGTCTAAATCTTAAATAAGAGTTCTTTGAGAACTGTAAAAGACGTCATATTGCTATCTGGGTCTGAATAATAAATTAAACATCTTTATCACCTTCCCATTAAACTCATTGTCAGTATTATCAAAAGACGAGGATTAAAGGTACTTACTCTAATTCCCTTATTCTCATTCAACAATTGATGATAATGATAATGAGTTATGAGACTTATGAGTAATAATGAGTATGTCGATAAATTATTAGAAAATATTCGACGAGTAATAGTACTACAGTTTCAAAGAATGTTATTACAAATGATTAAATCAACATTTCGGATAGAGAAGCTATTTTGTCATATCGATTGATTTTGACGGTTTAATTTTCTCCTGCTAATTTGTTTTACTCAACTGGATGTCGTTTTACGCTGCTCGAGCGCGTATCGACACATTTGATTGATTAAAAAATATTTGTTGAATTTAAATAAAGTAAAAAGTATTAAACGAAGCTTTTTTTTTTTGCTTTTGATAAAACCAGTTTGACTGCTATTATATGTTGTTGTTTTTTAACATACAAGTGCTTAAGCTGTAACTATACTTGACTCTTATTAATCCCTTTTATCTGAACGACCTCGATTCAAGGCAAGGTAATTGGAAAATATTTACCAAAATTAATACACGGACCTATAAATTAAAATTTTCAATTTTTCTTCTATTTCTTTAATTAACTCAGCGATTCCAATAATAAAAAAAATCCTTCACAATTTACGTTAGGATTTAATTGTAATAAAATTACATTTCGAAGTTTAATTCAAAGCTTTTAATCCGCAGATAATTAAATAGTTTTTTATTGACTTAGTTCATTCAGAAAATCCAATTAATTTATTTAAGCTCTACTTTTCGGCATTTACAAAAATTTAGTTTTGAACATTAAAAAATAAAAAGTATTGATATCTCGAGCCGTAATTACAACTGCTTAAGCCCTGTATTCATTAGAATGATGAATTCGTTAGTTAATTATAGAATTACAGAAAAACAAAAAGTACTGAGTAACAGTAGGGAAGAAAGTAATAAATCATTTCGTTATGATTTAGTACCAGACATTGTTGAACACCTTTATTACCGTTTAGACGAAAAGTAAAAATGACGTTTCTCTATAAATAAATTCAATGATTTGAATACAGTCATGCATTGAATATTCACTAACTTATTATAAATATATATTGTTATTATTATTTTAAGTAGGCAGTAAATTTTATGTAAAGTCTTTGATTAGTCTGGG